TAGTTTCCAAAGTAACCACGATAGTTTGAATCTCTGTCTTTCCCTTCCACTCTGACCCTCCTTCTACCCAAGCAGTCATGCTATTGTTAGTTCAGTCCACTAGGGACCTGTTTTCATTGTATTACGTTAGTAATCAATAACCTGTGTGTTTGTATTGTGTTATTATTTAGTTAGTAAATAAATAAGGCAATTTGTGTATTTGCTGATTCATCAATAAGGTTAGGGTTCATCCAGGTTCAAGGATTATGCGACATTCAGAATGAGACTGATAAGAGGTAAATATTTAATAAGTGACTGTTATCGATATATAACATATCTTCTAAGAGTTTAATTCGGGAGATGGTAACTCGTTAAACAACTTCTTCCGTGGTGCCCCAAATTCCAAATGAGTTAATTGTTACATGATAAATTTAATAGAGTGACAATTAAACATAGATAGGTGATTCGATAAATAACAGTCATGAATTAAAGTAAGTCACATCACGACACAGTGCAATAATAAAGTCCATTCATTCAGTTCACTCCTGATATAGTGCATTCGGAAAGTATTCTAAAATGGATTTTTTTTAAATAACATCTCATCAATCTACACACAATACCCCATAATGACAAAGCAAAAACAGGTTTTTAGACATTTTTGCAAATGTATTAAAAATTAAAAACAACTATTACATTTAGATACGTATTCAGGCCCTTTACTCAGTACTTTGTTTTAGCACCTTTGGCAGCGATTACAGCCTCAAGTCTTCTTGGGTATACGCTACAAGCTTGGCACACCTGTATTTGGGGAGTTTCTCCCATTCGTCTATGCAGATCCTCTCAAGCTCTGTCATGTTGGATGGGGAGCGTCGCTGCACAGCTATTTTCAGGTCTCTCCAGAGATGTTCGATTGGGTTCATGTCCGGGCTCTGGCTGGGCCACTCAAGGACATTCGTAGACTTGTAACGAAGCCACTCCTGCGTTGTCTTGGCTGTGTGCTTGGGGTCGTTGTACTGTTGGAAGGTGAACCTTCGCCCCAGTGTGAGGTCCTGAGTGCTCTGGAGCAGGTTTTCATCAAGGATCTCTCTGGACTTTTCTCCATTCATCCTTCCCTCAATCCTGTCTCCCAGTCCCTGCCACTGAAAAACATCCCAACAGCATGATGCTGCCACCACCATGCTTCACCATAGGGATGGTATTGGCCAGGTGGCCACCTCTAGGAAGAGTCTTGGTAGTTCCAAACTTCTTCCATTTAAGAACGATGGAGGCCACTGTGCCTCGACACAATCCTGTCTCGGAGCTTTACGGACAATTCCTTCAACCTCATGGCTTGGTTTTTTTTTCTGACATGCACTGTCAACTGTGGGATCTTATATAGACAGGTGTGTGCCTTTCCAAATCATGTCCAATCAATTGAATTTACCACAGGTGGACTCCAATCAAGTTGCAGAAACATCTCAAGCATGATCAATGTAAACAGGATGCACCTGAGCTCAATTTCAAGTCTCATAGCAAAGGGACTGAATACTTATGTAAATAAGGTATGTTTTTTATTTTTAATACATTTGCAAAATTTCTAAAAACCTGTTTTCGCTTTGTCATTATGGGGTATTGTGTGTAGATTTATTAGGATTTTTATTTAATAAATGTTAGAATAAGTCTGTAACGTTACAAAATGTGGAAAAAGTGAAGGGGTCTGAATACTTTCCGAATGCACTGCAAGTCTGACCATGTGTTCTCGCATACCCCGAGAGCATCTGGTCAGCGGGGTGGTGGCACAGGAATCCTCATCCCTCCAAAATGGACATTCTCTATTTTTCCCCTGACCCATCTGTCTATCTCCTCATTTGAATTCCATGCTGTCACAGTCACTAGCCCATTTAAGCTTAATATCCTTGTCATCTATCGCCCTCCAGGTTCCCTTGGAGAGTTCATCAATGAGCTTGACGCCTTGATAAGTTCCTTTCCTGAGGATGGCTCACCCCTCACAGTTCTGGGGGACTTCAACCTCCCTACGTCTACCTTTGACTCATTTCTCTCTGCCTCCTTCTTTCCACTCCTCTCTTCTTTTGACCTCACCCTCTCACCATCCACCCCTACTCACAAGACAGGCAATACGCTTGACCTCATCTTTACTAGATGCTGTTCTTTTACTAATCTCACTGCAACTCCCCTCCATGTCTCCGACCACTACTTTGTATCCTTTTCTCTCTCGCTCTCCTCCAACACTACTCACTCTGCCCCTACTCAGATGGTAATGCGCCGTCGCAACCTTCGCTCTCTCTCTCCCGCTACTCTCTCCTCTTCCATCCTATCATCTCTTCCCTCTGCTCCATCCTTCTCCCTCCAATCTCCTGATTCTGCCTCCTCAACCCTCCTCTCCTCCCTTTCTGCATCCTTTGACTCTATGTCCCCTATCCTCCCGGCCGGCTCGGTCCTCCCCTCCAGCTCCGTGGCTTGATGACTCATTGCGAGCTCACAGAACAGGGCTCCGGGCAGCCGAGCGGAAATGGAGGAAAACTAGACTCCCTGCGGACCTGGCATCTTTTCACTCCCTCCTCTCTACATTTTCTTCATCTGTTTCTGCTGCTAAGGCCACTTTCTACCACTCTAAATTCTAACCCTAGGAAGCTCTTTGCCACCTTCTCCTCCCTGCTGAATCCCCCCCCCCCCCCCAACCATTTTGAAAAGAAGGTTGACGACATCCGATCCTCGTTTGTTAAGTCAAATGACACTGCTGGTCCTGCTCACACTGCCCTACCCTATGCTTTGACTTCTTTCTCCCCAGATAAAATCTTGCGACTTGTGACGGCCGGCCGCCCAACAACCTGCCCATTTGACCCTATCCCCTCCTATCTTCTCCAGACCATCTCCGGTGACCTTCTCCCTTACCTCACCTCGCTGATCAACTCATCCTTGACCGCTGGCTATGTCCCTTCCGTCTTCAAGAGAGCGAGAGTTGCACCCCTTCTCAAAAAACCAACACTCGATCCCTCTGATGTCAACAACTACAGACCAGTATCCCTTCTTTCTTTTCTCTCCAAAACTATTGAGGGTGCCATCTTTAGCCAACTCTCTTGCTATCTCTCTCAGAATGACCTTCTTGATCCAAACCAGTCAGGTTTCAAGACTGGTCATTCAACGGAGACTGCTCTTCTCTGTGTCACGGAGCCTCTCCGCACTGCTAAAGCTAACTCTCTCTCCTCTGCTTTTGTCCTTCTAGACCTGTCTGCTGCCTTTGATACTGTGAACCATCAGATCCTCCTCTCCACCCTCTCCGAGCTGGGCATCTCCGGCGCGCCTCACTCTTGGATTGCGTCCTACCTGACCGGTCGCTCCTACCAAGTGGCGTGGCGAGAAGCTGTCTCCGCACCACGTGCTCTCACCACTGGTGTCCCCCAGGGCTCAGTTCTAGGCCCTCTCCTATTCTCGCTATACACCAAGTCACTTGGCTCGGTCATATCCTCACATGGCCTCTCCTATCATTGCTACGCAGACGACACACAACTAATCTTCTCCTTTCCCCCTTCTGATAACCAGGTGGCGAATCGCATCTCTGCATGTCTGGCAGACATATCAGTATGGATGACGGATCACCACCTCAAGCTGAACCTTGGCAAGACGGAGCTGCTCTTCCTCCCGGGGAAGGACTGCCCGTTCCATGATCTCGCCATCACGGTTGACAACTCCATTGTGTCCTCCTCCCAGAGTGCGAAGAGCCTTGGCGTGACCCTGGACAACACCCTGTCGTTCTCCGCTAACATCAAGGCGGTGACCCGATCCTGTAGGTTCATGCTCTACAACATTCGGAGAGTACGACCCTGCCTTACACAGGAAGCGGCATAGGTCCTAATCCAGGCACTTGTCATCTCCCGTCTGGATTACTGCAACTCGCTGTTGGCTGGGCTCCCTGCCTGTGCCATTAAACCCCTACAACTCATCCAGAATGCCGCAGCCCGTCTGGTGTTCAACCTTCCCAAGTTCTCTCACGTCACCCCGCTCCTCCGCACACTACACTGGCTTCCAGTTGAAGCTCGCATCTGCTACAAGACCATGGTGCTTGCCTACGGAGCTGTGAGGGGAACGGCACCTCCGTACCTTCAGGCTCTGATCAGTCCCTACACCCAAACGAGGGCATTGCGTTCATCCACCTCTGGCCTGCTGGCTCCCCTACCTCTGCTGAAGCACAGTTCCCGCTCAGCCCAGTCAAAACTGTTCGCTGCTCTGGCACCCCAATGGTGGAACAATCTCCCTCACGACGCCAGGACAGCGGAGTCACTCACCACCTTCCGGAGACATTTGAAACCCCACCTCTTTAAGGAACACCTGGGATAGGATAAAGTAATCCTTCTAACCCCCCCCTTACCCCACCCAAAAAAAAAAGTTATCCCACTGGCTATAAGGTGAATGCACCAATTTGTAAGTCGCTCTGGATAAGAGCGTCTGCTAAATGACGTAAATGTAAAGTCAAAATAAGTGCACACACGGTTTTCTAGTCTCCATTCAATCACATTCTCTTTGCATTGTCCTGACAACTGCATGCTTGGATTTACTGTATGCTATCATAACAGTCCCAGGCTGTTGCATTTCTCAGGAGCCATCTCTATTTGGGTTCAACTGGGTTTGCTCCATCACCATCTCTACGGTCTATGTCATGGCCTAAAGGGCAACGCCCTCACTAATCAAACGGACAGTCTCTACTCACAAGGACTCTCTCTGACATGTTCTGTCCAAAGACAAATTTGGCCTCCTTGTCGGTATTGTGTATGGCGTTCTTTGAACTGAAAGGAATCGAGAAGAACAAGAAGATATTAGTACATTTTTGTCATTTAGCAGACACTGTTATCCAGAGCAACTTACAATTAATGCATTCAACTAAGGTAGCTAAAACAATCATATTGCGATCACTGCATGTAAAACCTTAAAAATAGTGGAAAAAACACAAGTCTGATCTGGACTCAAAGAAGCAGATTCTCTGCCAGAGGAAAGGTCTGAAAAGCCAGTGACATAAAATGTTACCTGGGGGTGGCGATGTACTGTAAGAAATAGTTTGTTCCCTCCTGAGAATCCATGGGTAACAACTTGCCATCTTTAGTATTCTCTTCCAACTAGAAAGAGAGAGAGAGGCGGACAGAGAGAGAAAGAGAACCGTTCGCAAGAAACGTCAGAATATATATATTTTTTAAATAAATTGGATATTTAAACATCACCCTTGAACAATTCGAAGTGATAATTTAAAGGGGAAATAACCACCTTTGCTCTGTCTTTGATATTTTGCCCAAACACGAAAGAGGACTCTGCAGAACAATCGTTCTTCTCTCTGCTCGCTCCATCCTCCCTTTCATGTTTCTACAGGAGACAAGATACAGCAGTCAGTCATCATGATGGGTTTGGAGAATTCAGCTTTCATTTATATGTGGTCCTCTGTAGCTCAATTGGTAGAGCATGGCGCTTGTAACGCCAGGGTAGTGGGTTCGATCCCCGGGACCACCCATACGTAAAAATGTATGCACACATGACTGTAAGTCGCTTTGGATAAAAGCGTCAGCTAAATGGCATATTATATAAATAAATAAATAAATAATTGGGCAACCGAAAATAAACAACAACTGCAGTATTCTGACAGTAATATGATGGCCTAAATGATTTCCAAAAAGTAGGTCTATGCAATTACAAGCTAATCAAATCTCAAGTGACGCCATGTAGTCCTCACCGGTGACTTAGCGAGGCCGTCTGAGTGCTCAGTGTTGTTCTGGAAGAGGGTCGACCCTTCTGATGATCCGTCGGACGACTTCTTCACCCCGTTAGTGGACTCTGAGTTGGTCTTGGCTGGTGGGGCCTGGAGCAAGGCTGGCCGGAGCACACTGCGCTGCTGCTCCTTGGGTTTCTGACTGGGGACGCCTGGAACACAATCTGCTAATGGATTGGATCTGAATGCCTTACAGAACTACCCCATGCACAACCATGTACTATACTACATCATGCACCACCATGCCATGTACCATATCACAACTACCATGCACCACCATTTACTATATTACAACTATCATGCACCACCATGTACTATATCAACACTATGTCACAACTACCATGCACCACCATGTACTATATCACAACCACCATTTACTATATTACAACTATCATGCACCACCATGTACTATATCAACACTATGTCACAACTACCATGCACCACCATGTACTATATCAGCACTATATCACAACTAACATGCACCACCATGTACTATATCAGAACTACCACACACCACCATGTACTATATCAACACTATGTCACAACTACCATGTACTATATCACAACTATCATGCACCATCATGTACTATATAAGCACTATATCACAACTATCATGCACCACCATGTACTATATCAGCACTATATCACAACTATCATGCACCACCATGTACTATATCAGAACTACCACCATGCACGTCCATCCATATTAACATGCTGTACTGCCATCTACGTTTATAATTTACAAGGGCAAGGAGTTTTTCCTGAAAACTTCTGGGGCCTAATCATGGGCTATAACAAGGCCCCAGTTTTTCTCCTTCTAGTCAGGTCAGCACACCACATACCAGACCACACCAGTGGAGGCTGGTGGGAGGAGCTATAGGAGGATGGGCTCATTGTAATGGCTGGAATGGAATACATGGAGCGGTATCAAATATATGGAAACCACGTTTGACTCAGTTCCATTTATTCCATTTCAGCCATTACAATGAGGCCGTCCACCTATAGCTCCTCCCACCAGCCTCCACTGAACCACACATACACAGGCATCAATACCCACCTGAACTAGGTGCCTGGCCGTGGATGAGAGTTGGTGGTTTTAAACGAAACCCTACAGGCTTCTCTTCTGGCGAGAGGAAGAAAAAACAGAACAGGTAGAATTGTTAAAAAGATCAATCACTAATGGCAGCTGTCACTAGTATTTTTGTATCCTCACTACATATTATCATTAAATAAACACATTAAATAAACACGGCTGGACTACAGTTTACAAGCATACAATCCATCTTACATACAAGTCAACCACTGGAGACTTCATGAGTAAGCCTTTATGATGAGGAGTTACTAGAAGAAGTAGACAAGTCTCACCTGGCTCTGAGTCCTCTGAATTCCCAGTTGGAGACTGGCAGAAACTTGAGGGCATGAAGACATTGTTCTTACTAGACCCTGCAGAGAGCAGGAGAGAGACTGCATTACACACAAGACCAAATCTAGACAATATTATATTATTTTCCAAAAATAAAGGAAAAATAAAGGAAAATACAGTCAGCAGGGAAAGACTTCTCTAATGTGTTTCATTACCAGAATGTGAAGGTGGGAACTGTGTTAAAGATGAAGTCCTCTCTCTTTTCACTGGAGGACAGTAGCCACCATCGTCTTTGTCTGAACCTGGAAATTAGCAAATTGTCCTATTTTAGTCTTCCGTTCAAAAATCCCACTAAAATGCTCTAGCTGGGCTCTTAGATATGCAGCAGGGCTGTCCTACTGGTCGACTGAGTCTGTTCTTTCGACTAATCGATTGGCTGACATTTTTAAACGTGTATTTTTCCATATATAGTTGAAGTCGGAAGTTTACATACACCTTAGCCAAATACATTTAAAACTCAGTTTTTCACAATTCCTGACATTTAATCCTAGTAAAAATTCCCTGTCTTAGGTCAGTTAGGATCACCACTTTATTTTAAGAATGTGAAATGTCAGAATAATAGTAGAGAATTATTTATTTCAGCTTTTATTTCTTTCATCACATTCCCAGTGGGTCAGAAGTTTACATACACTAAATTAGTATTTGGTAGCATTGCCTTTAAATTGTTTAACTTGGGTCAAACGTATAGGGTAGCCTTCCACAAGCTTCCCACAATAAGTTGGGTGAATTTTGCCCCATTCCTCCTGACAGAGCAGGTGTAACTGAGTTAGGTTAGTAGGCCTCCTTCCTCGCACACGCTTTTTAAGTTCTGCCCACAAATTTTCTATAGGATTGAGGTCAGGGCTTTGTGATGGCCACTCCAATACCTTGACTTTGTTGTCCCTCCTGCAGCAAAGCACCCCCACAGCATGATGCTGCCACCCCCGTGCTACACAGTTGGGATGGTGTTCTTTGGCTTTAAGCACACCGTTTGATTAAATAATTAAGACAAATTAATCAGGAGGGAGCCAGAGATCAAGATGGCCTAACCAGAAGAAAAAAACCTGTTCCTGACCCCCCTCCTCCTGCTGCTTCTCCTGAAGTTGCTGGTAATAGGCTACACCATGGGTCAGCAAACTTTCCCATTGGGAGTGCCAATTTATCTTACCATTTCTACCGATCTGCGTGTCAGTTATGATTTTCATATGCACATTTTTGTGGAACTGTTTCATTTAATTTATAATAAAATGTTTGTATTTCAAAATCATTGTCATATGGTTAATCAACATTTTATCTAAATCAACAACCTCTCCCTCAACGTGCTCAAGACAAAGGAGATGATTGTGGACTACAGGGGAAAAAAAGAGGACTGAGCACGCCCCCATTCTCATCGACGGGGCTGTAGTGGAACAGGTTGAGAGCTTCAAGTTCCTTGGTGTCCACATCACCAACGAACTATCATGCTCCAAACACACCAAGACAGTTGTGAAGAGGGCACGACAAAGCCTATTCCCCCTCAGGAGACTGAAAAGATTTGGCATGGGTACTCAGATCCTCAAAAAGTTATACAGCTGCACCATCGAGAGCATCCTGACTGGTTGCATCACCGCCTGGTATGGCTACTGCTCGACCTCCAACCGCAAGGCACTACAGAGGGTAGTGCGTACGGCCCAGTACATCACTGTGGCCAAGCCTCCTGCCATCCAGGACCTCTATACCAGGCGGTGTCAAGGGAAGGCCCTAAAAATTATCAAAGACTCCAGCCACCCTAGTCAGACTGTTCTCTCTGCTACCGCACGGCAAGCGGTGAGCGCCAAGTCTAGGTCCAAAAGGCTTCTTAACAGCTTCTACCCCCAAGCCATAAGACTCCTGAACAGCTAATCATGGCTACCCGGACTATTTGCTATTTTTTTCTTAAACTGCATTGTTGGTTATGGGCTTGTAAGTAAGCATTTGACTGTAATGTCTACACCTGTTGTATACATTTTGATTTGATTTAATGACATGATACAAATCTAAAAGTAACTTCTATTGCCATTGCCAACTACGTACAAATAGCCTTCATAAAGTCAACAAATAAAAACACTGCAGCTTGCAGGTAGAAAATATCCTGATAAAAATGAATATCCTATAAATCACATTGGATACGCATGGCCTGTTAGCAATGAACTTGAAACATTGTATCAACTGGGTCCGGCCCGAAGCTCGCACTAGCAAACTTGCAAAATTGTATACAATATTCTGCGCCCTCAGAGTTTCCTGCTCCAGTGAGCTCGGGACAGACACAGCTGTAGGCTATTTGTGCAATGGATAAGAAGTAATCAAGTTTTGGTTTATTTTGAAATAAATCAAAACTTGTTTCTCACAAGTGTAGCATAGATTTTGAGCTTTGCAAACAATGTGTCCACTCCAACAATGAGACTATAATAATAATAATAATAATAATAATAATAATAATATATTGAATGCATTAACAGAAATAACCATAACCAAACAAGCATTGTAAATGAGAAATTATGGGAATTAACAGTACTACTGGTGATATATGTAATGGGGAATTGATAGACACTAACAATCAAAAGGCAAACAATTCACACAATGAAGTTATGAAACAATGAATGCGCACGAAATGGTGGGAGAGAGCGCATTCTGGAGAGAGACGTGCCTTGTGCATCTTAGTCACACTCCCCTTCTTGGACCATGGCATCCCCGCGGCCTCCGCAATGGATTAGTCCACTGAGACAGGTGTGAATCAGACAGGTGTCTTGTGTGCCATGAAAAAAAAAAAAAATCTATTTGCGACTGCTCGGCTAAAACAATCTAGGTCGATCAACAGCCTATCGACCAGTGGACTAAATGGGGTCTGCCCTACTATGCAGTATAATTTGATCCCTGGTAAATTAACTACAATATTATTAAGGACATTATAAGATTAGATGGAAATCATATGATGAAATAGGCTGATAGTCAGATCAGATGTAAGTTTAGCCTACCTTCTCCATCTTCTGCACTCGATCCATCTGCTGATCGCTGTAATAGAGAGCAGCACTAGGTCAACTGTGTTTCTCAGACTAGAAACAACGGAGTCAAATTATGAAGCTTTACAGTGAATTTCCATGAAGAAGGCCCATTGATTTCCATGAATGTGAGGGGATCGAAAGAATAGAATACCATCTGGCTTACCTTTTGTGCTTTCTCTTTTTGGAACAGAAACACTGGTGGCGCTATGGCAGGCTTCTCTGTTTAATGAAGAAGAGGGAAATCATGCTTTACCATACCGAAGAGTACACTTAGGTGACGTGTGTGAAGTGTAGGCCTAATATCAAGACATCACATCCTGTGAATCAGTTGTTTGTTTCAACAATGAAAACCATCTTGTCACAGTGACTGTCAAAATCAACTGTCATGAGCAAACGCCCTGCAGCAGTTTAGAGTTGACACAAGTTCTGCCATAATGTTTTTGCAGAAAGCCTACATCTGTGCAATTCCATGTCAGGCACACTTGATTCTCTGTTTAACATAGGCATGTGCTTCTAATTCCACAAAGATGCTGAAAGTGCCACTTGAGGAAATGCAGGAATATTTAGCTAAGGCTAAACCATACACCTAGACAGACAAAGTATTTCTGCCAAAAATAATCCCAACACATGGATTCACACTGTTTGTTTTGTCCTTCCTCCAACTTTCTGCTAACTGGGTCTAGCACACAGACTACCAACTCTCCCCATTCAGTTGAGATACTTCTGAATAGATGCCAAATGTCCATGATGCAAGGTTTGAGAATAAACAACTTGCATTACACAATCCTTTATTCCATTCAGAGGTCAAAGTAAACAACACCAATCTGTTCAGTCAACAAAAACTACCATACTAGCCTAAAATAGAGACATTATATTTACCCCAAAAAAATTGTATCTAAATCAAATTAGCCATTTCAAAAAGGTCAATCGGTTCATCAAACAAAAGCTTCTTTAAACGTAGGCTACATGTATGGACACCACATTGACAAGCGCATTGGATTTATACCATCAAAACTCATGGCGTAGCCAACGGAAACTGCCAGGACAACTAGCACCTCTACAGGCCAGGATCAGAGAAAGGACTGTCATGCTTTGTAAATAAATATAAGCATATGATCCAGCTCAACTCACACAATTTGAGTAGCTTGATTGAAACAACTGTTGTCATAACAGTGATTAAAAGTAGTAGTGGTGTACGGCAGTGACATCATGACCTAGCTGCCAATCCATATATCCAACCTTAGCTAGCTAGTTAACTACAAAATTAGGATGGTTTGGGTAATATAAATGCGGTCACAATATAGCGTTGGCCAACTACAAGCCACAAAGCTAGTTAGCTAACAGGATTTGTCGTAAGATTAGGCGCACCCAGCAGACTTGCTAAATTAGCCACCCAGTTCAGAATGTGCAACATTCATTAGCTAAAATTGCTAACAACATTTGCTATCTTGGCTAAAGGTACATTGCGGGCAAGTGGGGTGACCACATAGTTAGCTACCTTTCAAGAGTGTTCGTGATTTTATTAGCTAACTAAACGTCCTTGACAAATAGCTAGTTAGCACTAATGCCAATGTATGATAAAGAAAGTTAGCCTTAAAAGGTAGCTGGCTAACTAAGTTCGCCACAGCCCATGAAGTGAGTCATATCCCCGGCTAACGGTAGTTAGCTGAGGAAATTGTTAGCAACCTAGCTGACTGTCACAAATGAACAACCCGTATAGCTAACAAGGTAGCAAACGTGCGTTAATGTGCATTAACTAGCTAACTGATTAGCTACAATATACCTTGCTAAATATAGTTAAAAGTAACATTACCAAAAATATCTGATTAGCTAACGTTAGCCAGCTTCCCATCCCCGCCTAAATAGTCGAAGTAAGATGTGGCTGGCTGGCTTGCTATGGTAGCTAGCTACCTGTATAGTGAAAGCTAACGTTTGCTTTCTTATGTAGCCGGACTGAAACAAAAATTAGTTTCACTATTTTATTGAAAGGCTGTAACCCACTACTTTTATTACACAATATTTTATTGAAAGGCTGTGACCCACTACTTTTATTACACAGTAATGTAAAAATATATAAGTCAACGGCCATGCAAATAATTCAACAGTTTTGCTTCACACGGACACTGCTCACCTTCGTTTGCCAATTCCGCCATTTTCCTTCTACTTCTTCTTCTACTGTGGAGTGTATATATTGTGGTTGGCAACCAACTTTAAGGTGCCTTACCGCCACCAACTGGACTGGAGTGTGGACCAGAGACAGTGAAGGTTTAAATCCTACCCAATAATCTCGCCTCCCTAAGGAAACGAAATACATAATAAATACTACATCCCCTGAAGATTTCCCCAGCAGTTCACTTAATCCAGGCTCTTTACTCCTCAAATCTAATAACAATCGCTCCCTTTCTCTCACATATTTCTGGCACTGAAATAGAACATGTTCCACTGTCTCCATCTCCTCCTGACAATGATCACACCTCCCAGTCGGTGTGATTTCCCCACCAATTTCTATGTATTATTTAGCCTTGTGTGTCCCAGTCTCAGCCTTGTGACTACGCTTTCCTTCCTTCCCTCTCGGCCTGAGGACCTCCCTACCCCGATCTTATACAGGTGTTTTCCCTTACTCTCCCTGTTCCACAACTCTTGCCACTTATTTTTAACCACTGTTCTTATTAATCCCTTGCCTTCTGTTTTACTGATTGACAATTCCATCTCAACATTACGATGTTTAAGAGCTTGGCAATAATATACACTTCCTCATTCCCCTCTACTCCCACATGAGCTGGTACCCAGAGGAACATAACAAATATCCCCATCTGTTTCACCATGTACAAGCACAGCAAAACCTCATACAATACATCCTGTCTGCTCTGAGACACACATGCATTTAAGCTCATCAGTGCTGCACAAGAGTAAAGCAGATGACTACCCTATCTGGCCTCACCTCCTCCACCTACTTTGCACCCAATACTATGGCCAACAACTCCATAGTGTAAACAGATAAATGATCCGTTGCTCTTTTCAACACTGCCACCTTAAACTCAGGAACACTAAAAGCTGCTCCTGTCCTCCCTGTTTTAGGGTCCTTAGATCCACCTGTGAATATTATATACAGTATAATAATAATATATAATAATATATATATATATATATATATATATATATTCAAGAAAGCATAGCATTGTGTTCTTAAATGTTCACTTACAACTGAATCTACTCCTTCCTCAACATGCCTTACCCTCTCAAGCAACCCTAGATATATCTCTGGTTGAGGGAGAAACCAAGGTGGGATAGCAGGAAGCACCACAGAGGGGCTCCATTTTACTTCTCTGCTCACACCCATAACCCACAGCGCAAAATACATGAACCCCGCCCATTTCTACAGTTTATCTTCTTAAAATCTGATTTTAAACCTAACCTTAACCTAAACAACACTGCTAACCTTCTGCCTAACTCTAACCATAACACATTTTTGTTTTCATGAATCTTTACTACAGCCAATTCTGACTGTGGCTGTGCTACAGTGAGGGAAAAAAGTATTTGATCCCCTGCTGATTTTGTAAGTTTGCGCACTGACAAAGAAATTATCAGTCTATAATTTTAATGGTAGGTTTATTTGAACATTGAGAGACAGAATAACAACAAAATCCAGAAAAACCCATGTCAAAAATGTTATAAATTGATTTGCATTTTAATGAGGGAAATAAGTATTTGACCCCCTCTCAATCAGAAAGATTTCTGGCTCACAGGTGTCTTTTATACAGATAACGAGCTGAGATTAGAGCACACTCTTAAAGGGAGTGCTCCTAATATCAGCTTGTTACCTGTATAAAAGACACCTGTCCACAGAAGCAATCAATCAATCAGATTCCAAACTCTCCAACATGGCCAAGACCAAAGAGCTCTCCAAGGATGTCAGGGACAAGATTGTAGACCTACACAAGGCTGGAATGGGCTACAAGACCATCGCCAAGCAGCTTGGTGAGAAGGTGACAACAGTTGGTGCGATTATTCGACAATGGAAGAAACACAAAATACAGTGGGGAAAAAAAGTATTTAGTCAGCCACCAATTGTGCAAGTTCTCCCACTTAAAAAGATGAGAGGCCTGTAATTTTCATCATAGGTACACGTCAACTATGACAGACAAAATGAGAAACAAATATCCAGAAATTCACATTGTAGGACTTTTAATGAATTTATTTGCAAATTATGGTGGAAAATAAGTATTTGGTCAATAACAAAAGTTTCTTAATACTTTGTTATATACCTTTTGTTGGCAATGACACAGGTCAAACGTTTTCTGTAAGTCTTCACAAGGTTTTCACACACTGTTGCTGGTATTTTGGCCCATTCCTCCATGCAGATCTCCTCTAGAGCAGTGATGTTTTGGGGCTGTCGCTGGGCAACACGGACTTTCAACTCCCTCCAAAGATTTTCTATGGGGTTGAGATCTGGAGACTGGCTAGGCCACTCCAGGACCTTGAAATGCTTCTTACGAAGCCACTCCTTCGTTGCCCGGGCGGTGTGTTTGGGATCATTGTCATGCTGAAAGACCCAGCCACGTTTCATCTTCAATGCCCTTGCTGATGGAAGGAGGTTTTCACTCAAAATCTCACGATACATGGCCCCATTCATTCTTTCCTTTACACGGATCAGTCGTCCTGGTCCCTTTGCAGAAAAACAGCCCCAAAGCATGATGTTTCCACCCCCATGCTTTACAGTAGGCATGGTGTTCTTTGGATGCAACTCAGCATTCTTTGTCCTCCAAACACGACGAGTTGAGTTTTTACCAAAAAGTTATATTTTGGTTTTATCTGATCATATGACATTCTCCCAATCCTCTTCTGGATCATCCAAATGCACTCTAGCAAACTTCAGACGGGCCTGGACATGTACTGGCTTAAGCAGGGGGACACGTCTGGCACTGCAGGATTTGAGTCCCTGGTGGCGTAGTGTGTTACTGATGGTAGGCTTTGTTACTTTGGTCCCAGCTCTCTGCAGGTCATTCACTAGGTCCTCCCGTGTGGTTCTGGGATTTTTGCTCACCGTTCTTGTGATCATTTTGACCCCACGGGGTGAGATCTTGCGTGGAGCCCCAGATCGAGGGAGATTATCAGTGGTTTTGTATGTCTTCCATTTCCTAATAATTGCTCCCACAGTTGATTTCTTCAAACCAAGCTGCTTACCTATTGCAGATTCAGTCTTCCCAGCCTGGTGCA